GACCTCGAGACGTCCAGGACGAAGTAGCGCCTCGTCAATCATATCCAGGCGGTTAGTCATTCCGATGATGAGGATGTTGTTCAGTTGGTCGACACCGTCCATCTATATTATGATATTGAGTACGACAACGGAGCAGGTTTGAAGGAGCCCACCTTCGAAAGCAATTGATTGACGACACTGTCGCCAACACCGGTGCCATTGTTTGTCGATCCACGCTGTTTGAAGATGGCGTCGAGCTCATCGAAAATAATGATATGCAAACCACTCTCGTCTCCTTTCTGCTTGTACTAATGCACCAGAGATCAGCCCACGTCGTAAGAAATGTAAAGAAGGGATATACTTCTATTTCCGCATCCCCGAACAGCTTGCGAATGTTTTCCTCGGAAGCACCGACGTATTTGCTGAGAATTTCGGGACCATTGACGATCTTGGGTTCTCTGGCGTTCAACATCTTTCCAATCTGCCTGGCAATGAGGGTCTTTCCAGTTCCTGGGGGGCCATGCAAGAGGATACCTAAGAGATAAAGTAGAGCAATTAGACCACATCATTTAAACGAAAATGCAGGCGCTCTTGGTACCTTTCACGTGCTCGATTCCGAGTTTTTCGACAAGACCAGGAGGAAAGACTCGCGAAGCAAATGCACGACGGAAGATTTCACTGAATTCAGTATCAAGACCACCAATTCCCATATCCTGGAACTTGAAGTTGGGGGCCAGGATGGCATTCGGCGGGGCTCTATTCCAAGAATAATGTCACGACTGGGATTAGACGGAAGTAAAATTGCACTCACTTTTTAGCACTGGACTTGATTTTGATTGAGCTATCCGAAGCCTTCATAAAGGTGACGTCGGTCTTATCCATCACGATGCCTACATATTGGTGGTTCACAGATCGCTGACCGCTGTCAGGAACGCCCCTTCGTTGCTCGTCGGCCAGATCCAAGACACTGACGGACTTGACAGTGGCTTTCAAATTCTGACCATGGAACTCGAAGGCAAGAATTTCGTCGACAGACATCACAATACCGCTGAATGCCTTCACAAAATTCCGGGCCATCTCGTCTGCAGAGAACGTCTCATCAACCTGTTGGCCTCGACGAAAGAAGCCGACCTCTATGTCGATCGACTGGAGAAACGAGGGTGCGGCAGGATGTGGTGGTTGTGGAAGAGCTTCGACTGAGACGGTGTCTCCAGAAATCGAAAGACCAATCCATTGGCGCTGCACTGCGGATGCGCCGACCGTCCCGGACATGAGTTTACCAGTATTGTCGTGTCTGTTACACAGCTTAGATGGGAATGACCAATGTATGTTACTATGCGTACCTGACAGTTAATGAAAAGCCGCCCTTGACAAGGACATGCTGTCCCTGCTGAAAGTCTGACGGATGAACGATGAGGCAATTACTCAAGGCAAGCGCATCGCTAGGCGCGCTAACCACTCCATAGCTGTAAACATATGATCAGCATCTAATGGCTAGCGATCTCGACGAACGCACCTTCCACCACTGCGCGGAGGTTGTTTACGGTCATATTGTCTCTTTTCGAAGACAGCGCTCGATGGATCATTATACGGGGTTGGAGGTTGGTTATATTGCATAGACTGGGGCGGAGGTCGCACTCCCGATCTTGGACCAGACGGTAGGGAGTGATTGTCTGGGACCCGGTTATACTGTGCACTGGGAGGCGGCGTCGAGGTATTTGATGATCGGCCAAAGAAACTCATCCTGATATTAAGAGATTACTGTGGGGTATAGTGCAGATGTAGTAGGTTCGATATGAGTGGGTTGAACGTGGTCGTGGTCGTAAAGGCACAGTCGGCCTTCACTGCCACGATCACTCTGAAAATGACTGTGCTTACGTACGTCACAGGCCAGCAAAGGGCTCCATCAATGCGTTCACTTGAACCATACTCTGATAATTGACTTTGCTTAAAGGTATGGCGTCGCCAGCCACCAATGCCACGGCCGGAATTCTGTCGGACAATATTCCAGATGATGAGTCCTGTGAACTTCTCGGTCCGACTGCGCTGGTCAGTTGCTTTTCTATCTCAGATTTCCCTTGGATGTGACTTTTTCTATCCCAAGGTGGTACAAGGTGTCCTGGGAGTGTTGGTCATTCTCTCTCTGGTCTACAAACGACACAGAGAGCCGAGGAAACGTCCGTGGAAGATATGGTTCGTTTCTCATCCTCGGTCGGAAGTCCATGTGTTGATATGGGGTTATCTATCCAAGGCTCTTTGACGTTTCTAAACAAATTGTAGGCCAGATGTTTGTCCACGGGGTCAATGTTTTCTTGTCTGGTCTCATTTCTGAGTTTACCTCCGGGAATGCGTGCGTTTTCTACTTTCTACATATCCTGTTGGACACGACGCTGGGTAAGATACTGTCTTGGCGTGAAAGGGACTTGTGCTGACGCTTATTTAGGTGTTGCGTTCCTCTACGTGATCCATCACGTTCTTACCCATATATTTTCGGAGAAGTTGCAGCTCAAGGGGTTCGAATCTGGAGTCTATGGGACCCCCCCTTCAGTCAAATATTGGGCTCGACAAGCTGCACTATATGTCCTGGCCTTGACAACGATGAAGTTGCTGGTTATCACCCTCCTCGTAGTGTTCCCTGGGATCTTCTCTATCGGGGAGTGGCTCTTGAGCTGGACGCGGGTCGGAGAAGGCGACTCCCTCCAAGTTATATTGTGCGTCGTCTCTCTTCCCAGTAACGAGTTTCATTGATTCTTCCACAATGACAGCACCATGGGCATCTTCCCTATCATCATGAACATTCTCCAATTTTGGCTCATCGACTCCATCGTCAAAGCTCGTTCCATGGTGTCTTTGGACGAGGACAGTTCAAATGTTTATGGTAGTGAGGATCACGAACCTTTGTTCCGAGCACCTTCGGATGACGAAGGTGACGGTGATTACCGGCTCCCTGACGCTGAAGGTGGACGGCCACATCCCCCCGAACGCCATAAATCCGTACGAGAAGAATATGCATCGACTGGAGCTAACTCTTCCGAAGACCCAGGCGATCACTCCTACCCACCAAGTCTCTCCCGGAGCACCTCTTCGGGCAGCATCACGCCTAAACCAGCGAAAAACCTGCTCAAGAAAGCCAAACGGAGAGCAGCGCCTGCACCTCTCAGTCTACAGAATAACAATCCTCCGGCCGTCAACTCACCAGGAATATCTGCTGCACAACAAGCCTTAACGCATGTGCCCCTGGTTCCGCAACCCGTACCTATGCAAAGAGCAGAGGCTGTAGATGAATCTGCGGATGCTTGGGCAGAGACGTGGGACGATTCAGATGACTGGGCGAATCGGGTGGGGGAGGAGGAGTGGACAGGGCGGAGAAACGAGCAAAAGAAAGATACCCTTCAGAACGCTTGGGATAGTACCACGCATCAGGCCGGTTCATAGCAAACCGGGAACATTCTTTCAGGGTTTTCGGTGGATCTCGGTGTACATTACATATAGATCGATTAATACATTCGCAACTCAAAAAGCTACGGTAAGACGTACAGTATGTACTCATACAGCATGCTTTCTCGACATAGGCAGGGGTCATGGAATGACATGATTCGGGCCTCCATGTGTTACGAGTATGCGGGGGAGCGGCGAATGCGACGAGGAGCCGTAGCTATTCCAGTGATGTTAGCATCCTCCCGGCGGGAGTGCAAATCTGGCGCGCTCGGCGCACTTGACTGACACGGTCACAAGACAAGGCAGAGAAGAGATCGGAGTCTGGGATTTAAACCAGTGCCACCACCAAACTCCCTGCACATTCGGATGTCCTCCCAAATGGCCTCTCTCGGGCAGTCTATGGAAGCGATGAGCGTAAGTTCTCTTTTTACGCCTGTTTCTCAAGTATGTTGATTATTCTCCCAGTTACGACCCGCCCAAATCACCACCCCAGTCCCCCAGCGTACGCGATCTTTGAAGGATCGCCACGTATTCTACGGTTTTCCCGTTTCCAAGGAATGGCTTATGCAGTACTGCGAGAAGAACGCGCACCGCATCCGAAACTTTGATCCCATTAACTCGCGCGATTCAGTAACGAAAATGCTCACCGCCATGAAACTACTAAGAGTATCATCAGGAATCAAGAACCTGACGATTGAGGGCGTCATCTGCAAAGCCAGCGAACCTTCGCTCACGCTCGGCGGCGATTGGGGCTGTTTGCCGCTTGTGTGTGTGTGCAGCTCGATGAGGAGCTCATATGAGAGGAGGCCCAACCAAGAGCAGATGGACAAACTGCAGTCGATCGTGGAGCAGGAACCCGATTGGTATGTTGACGTCAATCCTTCAAGCTATTACAGCCCATACTAGCATTCGCGTCGTGCCTCTTCTTACGTGAGTTTGCTTCGTTTACTCTCTTCGGGAATCGGGACCGCGCTAAACAACATCATACGCTATAGGCCTCGTGTGCAGGCGCGATTCGTTTGCCGTTCTCGCTCCTCTACCCCTACTGAACATTTCTTGCGACTGGCGACGCTTCTACACCTCCCTGCAACGTGTGTAACCCTATACAGACGGTCCTTACGAACGCTAGCGTTACGCATAAGAAGCAGTCCTCTACCCGTATCGCTTCATGACCATATCCGAAATTCATTCCCTACGATGTCAATGTGTACTATCTTAAAGGCTGCATTGCACCCAGTACTACACGAGACCGACGCACGGAGAAGGCGTGAGGCTGGCTGAGGCAAATGGTACACAAGCTCAAGGACTCGAGCGAGGTCAAAATCGCACTGCCGTGCCTTGCTGCAGATCTTGAAGCTATGTAGTGGGTTGTCGTGATGACAAGTTGAAGTAGTAACTTTGAAAGGGTGGAGCAGGAAGGAGCATTTACTTAATGAAATGGGTTCAACTAAGCCCCTGCCACATGCTTATGGACACTGATAAGAGACCAATTAACGACATTGGTGACGTTTATCGACGAGGAAATATAATTCTGTATGGTGAATGAAGGGGCAAAAAAGAAATATATTGGCATACATTTGACAAACCCCCGGCGGGACTCGAACCCGCAACCTCCAGATTAAGCGATTGTAGAAGTCTGACGTCATAGCCATTAGACAACGGGGGCGCACATCAATAACCTGGTGCTGATTGTCCAGTTACAATTACCACAGCCTGTGAATGAGCACGACATGGTGTGAATATGAGTTCTTCAGATGCGCGATTGCGGCTTCAAGGTACTGGTGTCAAGATAAAAGGACAGAAGAGCGCGGACGGGCATTTGCGTAAGAATCCTCAATAGTATGGGGAGTTGAAGTAATCTTGTCCCGAAAAAACATTGGGTCGAAGGGTGCGTGGCCTCTGGACGCATGGTCTTCGCTACGACTGGGTAGACTAAAAGGTAACCTATGAAACTAGATCCATCTTAACTTTCAAGGAATCGCTATGCAGCATGCTCGAAGATGACCCCGGCCCGGAACCAAATGTCACTGTGCACTGCTATTGGTCTCACGTGGTTTTAATTTTACGAGGTCTGCGACGGCCACCATGAGTGTTCCTCGCGAGTCACCGCTGTCGTCGTCGGTGCTGCCGAACACAGCCCTCACGTCGTCACCCGATACAATCCGTGACACGTCCTCACCGCTTTCCGGCTCACCTGTTCATCGCCGTCGTTCCAGCGATGCTAGTGACCTCACCGCACGTCGCCGCCACTCCCCCACCCTCGTCCGCTCCTTCGACCCCGATGCTCGCGAGCGTCAACGCACAATGGACGTTGATATGGCCATACAGATGTCCCGTGCGCGTAGGGAGACCGTCTTGAGCTCACCCGAAATTTTGCCTCTCCCAGAACGCACACTCGAGGAGGAGGACTCCCACCCCGAGCATGATGCTGTTCAGCCCGACACCGACACCGACGACGAAGCTGGTGTCGCCCTTCGCGAACCCTCGCAGATTGACCTGAACATGCACGTCGACCAAGCGCATGACCCGTCGCTGCTGGCGAACGCACCTACCGCCGCTCGTAACAATACAGAGTCGCTTTTCGGTTTGCCCACATATCAGGCCAATGTTTCCCACTCTGACTTCGACTTCACCCCCATGGAGGACTTTGCTGCAGTCGAAAAGGCTACCCTTGGTCTTTCCCCAACCGCCAAATTCCAACTCGATATCCGCTCACCCCGACTCAAGCTTGTACCGCCAACCACAGACCAAAGACCCAGTGAAGATGAAGCTGGTCCATCCAGGATAGCAGACCAATTTGCCCCATCGAACCAGCCCTTAGAGTCTGAAACCGAAGACATCCCCCGCCCCATTAGCACCAGCATTGCACGTCAACGAAAGCTCAGCCAATCCAATCCGCATCCGCGCACGCATCGGAAAGGCATCGGAGGAAAAATGGCGCTTTTCGAGACCCCACACGATCCTTTCTCTACGGCTTCTGCCTCCGCCCCGGGCAATCTTGGCGCTGGTTCCCTCGCCTCCCGCCTACCCTTCGGACAAGGGCGCCATCAACCGTCAACCGGATATTATGATGCTGTCGCTCCCCCTCCGAGCGGAGGTGGAATCCTGCACACGGGTCATGATCGGCCATACCGCTTCTCTTTCTACTCTAATGCCTTGGCAGCGACCATCCATGCGCGCAGCCTCAGCGAACTCCCAGCAGACGGTCAGACCTTCGAGCAACTTTTCTCGGGCATCAACCCCGAAGGAGGCGCTCATGGAGCTGTCGATATTCCTCCGACTCCGACTCCGGCTGCAGGAGGCCCAGGCGCGCCTCCGCCTCCTTTCGGCGCCGGTCGTGATTATTTTAACAATGGTTCACATGGAGGGCCAAATGGACATCGGAGGTCGAATGTGTATGTGGACCCGAAGCTGGGGAGCCCAGGCCCGGGTGGGGTGAATGGGGCCGCTGGTGACTCTGATGATCGAACATGGTGGTTGGATGTGATGAGCCCGACAGACGAGGAGATGAAGATGCTCAGCAAAGTATATGTTCTCCGTTTCGCGCATTTACCCTGTGTATGCTGATATGAGTATTTGATAGGTATTTTCTATCCATCCGTTGACGACAGAGGATATCCAGATGGAAGAAACACGCGAAAAGATCGAGCTGTTCCGCAACTACTACCTTGTGTGCTTCCGTAGCTTTGACCAGGACCAATACAGCCCCACATACCTCGAGCCGCTGAACATGTATATAATTGTCTTCCGCGAAGGTATTCTTTCCGTGCGTACCCTGCTCTCTATTTCTTCCTTCTACTCAGCTTATTTACCCGCACACACAGTTTCATTTCCGCCCCACACCGCACCCACAGAACGTCCGGCGGCGCATCAAGCAGCTCAAAGACTACATTGCTGTGACGTCCGACTGGATCTCCTACGCTCTCATCGATGACATCACCGACGCCTTCGGGCCGCTCATTCAGAGCATCGAGTATGAGGTAGACTCCATCGACGAGCTCGTGCTTATTCTCAAAGAGGCGGAACAGAGCGACATGTTGAGAAGGATTGGGACGTGCCGGAAGAAGGTCATGGGTCTGCTGAGGTTGATGGGCAATAAGGCGGACGTGGTGAAAGGGCTGGCCAAGAGGTGTAATGAGAATTGGAGAGTAGCGCCGACATCGGATATCGTGAGTTCATGATTGTGGATGGTGCATTGCTATCTATCACTAATGTCTTCTGTGACGTAGGGATTATACCTCTCGGACATCCAGGTAACGTCCATCACCACCTACAAGTAAACGCTCTCTGCTGATACCATATTGACCCCAGGACCATCTGATAACCATGACGCAAAATTTGAACCACTACGAAAAGATCCTCTCTCGCTCGCACTCCAACTACCTCGCACAAATTTCCATTGAGATGACTGACGCAAACAATCAGATTAACGACGTACTCTCGAAGCTCACTGCGTTGGGTACCGTGCTTATCCCTATGAATCTTATCACCGGTCTGTGGGGCATGAACGTACATGTACCAGGGGAAGGCGTCGATGTGCGTTCCCCGTTTCATTGCAAATGTGATTCATTGCTGACAACGGTGTGGGTCAGGGATATGCATGGTTCATCTCGATTGTGGCAGGCCTCGCGGCTTTCGCGCTGATCGGCGGGTACTCGACCTATCGCTTCATGGTCGGGCGATCGTAGTAGGTCCTTGCCGATGCATACCGCTTCGGCTAGAGTGGTTCGACCGCTTTTTATTCTATAAGTACGGCACGTAGGTTGCCCATAGACGCATACGGACACGGCATAGTTGTGGTTACTCTCCTGCACAAGCATATACTTTCATGACAACTCAGGGCTCTTCTTGTTTATTACACGGGTAATTTGTATGGATATCCAGTACGCACGTTTTAGAAGTAGATTTTATCGATAACACCGAAATTGCAGCCCCAAGATAGCGGAAAGCTCAGCTTGCAGATGGAATGTTTTTCGGAAGGGGGAGGTCCGAAGAGTTTATTATGCCTGACTTGTTCCCCTTCGAACAGCCACTTCCGAACCTGGATGCTAGTTGGATGATGGGCACGAGAAACTTAGTCTCATTCCCAGAAGTATAGGGCAAGAGTTCTTGAGTCGCTCGCTGCGCTCTCTCCTCAAGATTTCCGGTGATCAACCGGTGATCACTGATCATGAGTTCTTCAACCGGAGGCAAAAAAAGACGTAAAATTTGATGGCGAACTCTTGCCCTACATATACTTACATACATCAGCTGAAATGCCGTGTCGCATCATCTGAAGGGTGGAGCATATATTCCCCCCTTCACCGTTACTCGGAAGACCTTGAGCTCGCTTGTTCGACCAGGCTTCTCACCACTGACCACTGATCGTGCGTCGTCGCTAGGCTTTTCGGAACGAAAGTACAACCCGCTCCCTGTCAAACTACGGATATTCGGACCGTCCGCCTACACCGTGTGCATCATGTGTGACCTCCAAGATGGAGCGTGACAAGATCGTGCGCCACCTTTGAAGCGCCAAATCAAGAATATACATGTTATTTTTCAAGGAGATACAGTGAAGTGACTGTGAAGGACGACCTGTGAGGAGATGGTAAAGGAGAAACGACAACAGCAATCTCACAGCTCCTGATTTCATCGATTAGTGGCTTATTTGGCTCAGGCCATGTGTGTGGCGGAAGCGAATTGTCTATCGATTCGCGTTTAGTGGAAACACCTTAGGCTTCCCCCTTGCTTCCCCCGGCCCCTCGAGATGCTTGTCACATATTTGACCTTGATCTATTATAACAAATGAAAGTTCTTTCTCCCACACGGGACAAACACGGGCAACGCACGGGTAGCTGGTGGTGCGTAGTCAATATTCTCGCCACGCCCGTCTATAAGAGTCTGTGGGGTATAAAGAGGCGCGTTTCTTCAGCGGTGAGCTTCACAATACAACCCTCACAACAGATCGACCGACATACCTAAATCACACAACATGCAATTCCGCGCCTTCTTCGTCCAAATGGCCGTTCTCATCCTCCTCCCTGCTGCTCTGGCAGTCCCCGCGACCCAGCCTTCTCCAGGCACCTGCCTGTTCGGCGACTTGTTATGGGGGAAGCCTGGTAAAGCCGCCTGCGCTGCCGAGTGCATTGCCCTGGAACAGGGCTTCCGCGGAGGGCGCTGCGATCTCGGTACGTAGTTCTTATCAGACGCTTCCCGGGGACAATTGGTCTTATTTGATCCATAGAAAAAGGTTGCGTCTGCACCAAATGAGAAGGACAAGGTGTAGTATAACAGCAAACCTAGCAAGGTGAGCTGCTATCTTGAGGCTGTGCGATAGTGGTCGAGAACTAATTTCTTGTCGGTCGTTAGGTCTGATGTTGGGTTTTGAATCTGAAATTACATACCTGTATTGGTTTACTTCTCAAATATAATAGGATTATGGTTATGCCAAGCGAACAGACTCTAATGACTCCTTTGTTCGCTAACGCATTTTAACGTGCTTTCAAGGTGATCCCTATTTGTACTTCTCGAAGTATAAAGTATCGTAGTGTATTCTTTGGAAATGTATGTAATGCCGAATTTGAACATGACTGCGATATGATATACCTTCCAGACCCCTAGCAAGCGTCGAGCAACATAACAGAGCTAAGTCCAGTCAATAAGAATACTTGAATTACGCAACACCATCTCTCTGCCTATGCAATCTATCATCCTCCTCGTCACTATCCCCAACATCAAAAATCGGTTGCTGCTGTGACTCCTCAGCGCGCTCCTTGCCCTTCCGCTGACGACTGCCGAACCGCTCCCGATCCTCCGCCGCAGCTGCCTCCGCGTCCGCCTCGTCCTCCATGCGCCGGCTGGCGTTGAGTGGGATGCTCTCCTCCTCATTCACATTGATGGGTAGACGTAGGCGCCGGCGACGGAGACGACACCACACGAAGGTGCCGATACACGCAAAAATGAGGATGAGCACTAATGCAGCCGATCCGGCATTGTAGTATGCTACCATCGACCACAAAATCACAAACGTCAGTTACACACAGACGCAGACAGGCAGGAGGACTGTACCTTCCCACATGGCTTTATCTTGTTCTGGGAATTTACTGGGATTGGCCGGGGTGGTGGGTTTGGCTTCCGCCTGCCCGATAAATATGGGCTTCTTGATGGTGCCGAGGCTGCTGGGTATTTTGGCGGAGCCTTCGAAGATGGAGGAAAAGTTGAATCCCATGAAGCGGAGGATCATGTCGTGTGTGACGTGGGGAGCGTCGAAGGGCGCCATGTGCGATGCGTTGAAGATCTGGTTAAAGCAAAATGGTGAGTTGGACGAAAGAGCAACGTAAGGTGGGTTGGTAGGATGGCCGGGCTTACCTTGGCGTATGTGAGGTTTCTTGATGTCACCCATGTTCCGGCGGGCGTGGCATTTACGTTCCACGATTGCGTTTGGACGGTCTAAGCGTGTTTCTGATCAGATACGCATCGTATCCTAAAATAATCCAACGTACCCCAAGGCCAGTGGCACCATTCCATGTCATTTCTTTGATCATAGCCTCCAATCCAACGTAGTTGCAGATCAAGTCCTGGTCGCCCGCAAATATGAGAACGGGGATCTTGGAGAGGATTTTGGGTATTATCGTGATGGATGCGTTCTCAGACTTCTCGTGGAATGCAGAGTGAAGGGCGGTGCGGCATTCGATCCATGAGCCGGAGTGCGCGTTTGCATGCAAAGCATTGACGACCTCTTTGCGCTAAAGGGCGGTCAGCAAGGGCAGAAGTGACATAGGATGACGATCATACACCGAGGAAGGTTGTGATGGGATTGATGTCGGGAGGCCAGTTCATGCCACAAGCCGGAACAGTGTCGTGGAGGCGAACATCGTAGATGTTCAGGCACATGTCCTTTCCGTTGATCCTTCATTACTTGTAAGTGAGTATGTTTAAAAAATATGCGAAACAGCCTTACTTTTTGTTCTGATTCTTGACAACATCCACCACCAGGCGCTCACAGGCCTTCACTTGCATGGGCTCCCGTCCTTTTATTTTGTCAAGTTCTGCCACGCAGTGATCTGTGATCTTTTTCGCTTCTTTCCATGCCTGTCAAAAAATATCAGTAAAGCAGTGAAAGAGAATAACCAGGCGCATATAACGAACGTCAGAATTCTCGTCAAGCAGGCCAACCTTCACAGCGAAGTCTAAGTACATGGGGTATTGTCGCCTCGGGTCTATCCAACCATTTCCTATGGCAATGCCACGAAGAGGTATTTGGAGGGACGACTCCAATATGGCATCAGCTATCGAAGGGGTGAGGAATGAGATGAGACCAGAGATAGGTGACTGCGTACCAAAAGCGGGTATCCACTGGCCAGCAAAACTTTCGCCAGCTAGGTATGTCTATATACATACCAAGACGTTTTAATGACTTAAAGTGATACAACATAAATGTGACGGCGTACGTCGACGTTTTTGTACTCTGGGAATACCTGATAGAAGTTTCGCAAGAACTCTATGAATTGAACAGAAGCCTGCGAACACATTAGACAGGTGCATATAACGTGCTTTATTTGACTTACTTCACTAAGTGTGTGGATATAACGATCTGTACTGGTATATGAGAAACCAGTCCCAGCAGGTTGATCGACTTGAAGAGACACCTGAATATCAGTCACAAGGAAAAAAAGGCAATGAACATACCATACACCATGGTTGTATATTCCTCCCAACCTCCTTCGACGACTTTGAAACCGCCCTTGCCGTCCATCCGCCATGGGCCAACCTCCATCATGAGGCCATCAAACGACGAGCATCCCGGACCACCCTGTTGACCAATGCATTAAAATAACGATGTAGGTCCTCTAAGAATACACACACGTTAAACCAAAACATGAGCCTGCGTTTGTCCGCTATCCGTCGGTTTTTGACCATAACGAAGTATAGATGCGAGGTGACATCGGTACTCTGGGCTCGGGTTATATTAGGGTCTGCAGATAGGTGGCCAGCAAATATGTCGAGCGGATTGTGTGGGTCTTGGTGAATGTCTGGTATTGATGGAACGTAGAATGAGGCTGCGGAAGGGACTGGTCGCAGCCAGGTCAGTATGCCAGCAAGTTATAGCATTAACTCCAGCTCACTATCTTGTGGAGCCGCTTGGACATGCAGAAGGATAGAAAGCGCGACGAATACTAGTCCGTAGACGCCACCTAAGCCGCACCGAAACATTGAGCCGGAGGTCGTCCCTGGAGACCCTGCTGGCGTAGCACGAAATTAAAGGTGGTGTGAGCCACTATGCCCTGAGGAAGTCTACAGGTCGCTGAGCGTCGCTGATCGAGGTCGCTGGGAGCGGTGCCAGCGAACGTGAATGATTGTCACGGAGTGAAAGAGAGATCAGAAGGGTGCACGCTGAACGGCGTGCCTGGCGCGATCACACCAACACATGCCAGAAAGATAACAAATTATTTGAACATTCCCTAGCCTTTTACCCGGTGCACTCCGGTCTGTCCACGACCATGAAGCTCTCTGCGTTGTCCTTGGGTCTCCTGGCCCTAGCTTCCACGTCTGTGAACGCGCAGTACTTCTCTGCTGGTTGGAAACCTGGCCAGCCACAAGAAACTCCTTCTAGCCCCGCACCTATACCCCAGAAGCAGAAGGAGGCCACCCCCGACAGGCTGTCGCCTTCCAAACTCGCTAGCTACCTCGACATCACAACCTTACTGTCGACGGGCCCCGTAGTCTCGTTATTTGAGCGGCTAGGCATTAACATCACGGAACGTCTGGCGGATGCTACTGAGCGTGCCAAAGTCTGGGACGATCGCGTCACCCTTATCAGGGATGATAACTTCCAAGAGTTGATTGTCGACGAACCCCTCACGCAGCAGGAGGAGCAGGACAGGACATGGATTCTAGTAATGTAAGTTTAACATTGTTCTTATCGGCAGACCTGTGTTGAACATCGTTTCTAGCTCAGTGACTGCTGGGAGGCAGGACGGTATATCTAAATACGTCGACCAGGTCTTTGACTCTGCGTTTAACGAGTCAGTCATTGCGGGCGACCTGCCGAATGTCCGCTGGGGCCGCATCGACTATTTCAACGTCACCTATATCACGACGAAATGGGCCATTTGGCAGTAAGTACTCTCTCCTGACAAATTAACTACCCTCATACCGCCCTCCCCCCACAGCGCGCCATACCTTGTCATTGCGAAAGACCGTGGCCGGAGTCTCCGCTTCTATCGACCACACCAGCTGAGGCTGAAACAGGACGCATTGCTTTCTTTCCTCCAGAACGAAGACTGGAAGGTGACCCCGCCCTGGTCTTCGTCGTTTTCCCCAGGAGGAGACTGGTACGTCGTACTAGACGCTCCCTATGAACGTTATATTGATCCGCCTCTCAGGGAATCCATCATGCACTACCTCGCTTTGGCTCTGATGAAAATCTACAATACCGCCGTTCTCATACCCCGCTGGCTACTCTTCATTATCTCCGGAAGCATTGCCTCGGTTGTACTCAACTTCCTGCACAGACCTAGCGCCGCCCCGGCGAGACTGCCACCGCCACCAGTGCAGCAGCAGCAGTCGAACGCTAATGATGTTCCTTCGCCGTCCGTTGAGGCCGAGTCGAGCGCAACTTCATCGTCGTCGAAAGCTAACAAACGCAAGAAGGGTAAAGGAAAGAACTAATCTTGTCTATATATTGTTAAGGTTATTCTGTATAATCTACTGTATGTAGTGACCCTTCAAATTTAACGGATATGACGCGCATCTCGCAAGCTCTGACAATAAGACTGGAGAGTTTTGCTGACAATAATCCTACAGGTTTGGTAGCATGTGAGGAGCTTAATTTCAATTGCCAATATCTCAACTCCCTCTTAGCTCAGTGGTAGAGCGCGTCACTAGTACAAGACCCTGGTAGTGTATGACGAGGTCAGTCGTTCAAGTCGGCTAGAGGGAATTGAGAATTCTAAGGGCTGCCTTTTTTCGTTCGTAATCTATTCCAAAATTTCTTTGACTTCGAAGTTCGAGGATCGAAGCTCTTGAGGGCCGAGGCTGGAGGCTGGGGTCGAGATCAATCCGAAAGTAACATCATTATCGACCTATCTATGTCAGCGCAAAGGGTGTTTGGCGATCAGCCAGCCGCGGGAACGCATTCGTCTGCGCCAGCACCACCATCTGCTTCTCATGGCTGATGTACCCGCGCATGAAGCCCTTGTAAATCATATTCGCCACAAGACATTCCGCCTCCGCCTCCAAGACGTCGATGCCGGATATCCTGAGCGAGGAGTGGAACATGGAGATCGGGATCCGTGTCCCCTTATCCGTCGCAACCCATCTGGATACGCCAAAGAGAGCAGAAAGGAAGATAGTGATATGTTTCAAATTGTCAATTCGGATATCTGTCATTGTGAAACTGGAGGGAGAGGGACTCACACCCGGCGGAAAAGGCCGCGTAGACAGAGCTCCCTGGCCTTCTCTAGAGTAAGCCATAGATTAAGGTCGACGAGCCGGCGCTCCCATTTTTCAAGTGCGCGATCGTAAGCAACTATATCGCCGCCGCGGATGGCTGCGACAAATGGCGCGTAGAGTTCGTCGAGGACCGGGAAGCGGCGCATTAGCTCTGTAGATGGGAGATGGCCCTTGAGAACCCGGAGGGGAAGGAGATAAGTCAATATCCGCCTACATACCTGCGTCAGATCCGAAACATAGGAATGAAGAATAAATAATAGTGGGGGAACGCACTCCTGATTGGTGTGTGCTCCAATATGGCAATGATAAAACGCGAGAGTTAGTTCTTGTTCAGACTGATAATAGAAATGCATCACATTTAGGTTTAACGATGGAAATATTAACCCACCTTGGCATACTCTTCATTCAGAAAACTTAGCATGCCCAAGTAATACCGGTACGTGACCTTTCCCAGCATCAGCCATAGAACGATGGACACACATAAGCTGAAACGTCAAGAAGAACCTACTTGATGTGAACGAGGATAGGCGGATAATGGGGGTATGTCCGTGTTGGCTTCCAGTGCACGCAGAACGTTCTTAGAAAGCGATATTCGCTTTACCTAGGAAGCGCGATCACAGATGTGGAGCAGAAGGCCAGATGGTAGGAAAAAAGGACTTGCCCGAAAATAGCATTTGAGGACCAGGCCCACCACATAGTAGATCCCCCATTTTCGTGACTGGTCAGGTGGGGATGTTCTGACAAGAGGATTAGTGATTACTAGCAGGGGTAATAGGTGGACCCTCGCGATTCGCAGATACCTGTCAGTCATGCAATTACCAAATGCCTTCGCGATAGTCCTCGCGGCTTCCTCCATGCATTCGCTCTTCTGGCCGTTGTACTTCGCGTGATGGTCTGCCTGCACCAGGGTTGTGTTAATTAAAATCGTGTTTGCACTTGCGTAAAGAAAACATCATTACGTCGAATGCAAGATCCCGCAAGTCTCGGAGGATAGAGAAGAGAGCAGGCAGTGTCCAGCCACGGTTCTCGGTAAAGAAACGGAGGAAGAGCCTAAATCCTCGACTGTATGAGTGGACCTCTATTTTTGCACATGACGAACGACTCACGACACCAGCTGAGACTGTTCCTTGAATGCTTCCCCTGGCCTCCGCTTCGAGATGTGTATGCAAATCAGAACGTACTGTATCGCGATCTCGTCCCAAGGGCTTTGCATGCTTCCTTCATACCGCTTGAACACAGCGCGCTATGGAATCAGCGTTACATCTTCTCGAGGAACGTGTTCAAGGGCCGAAATATACCGTTGGATTCCGAAACTCCTTCACCAGATCTTTGCCGTGCGGGCTCGTAGGACGCAAAAGGTATGCTAGATTCGGTCCGTTCTCGGCCACAAGAGCATCGTTGAGTTGGGACATGAAAGTCATAAGATCCATCGGCATTTTGGCAGAAGTTTCGGGAAGATATTCCTTGCAGGGATTATCTTGTATCTAGAAGTTGGGAGGGGATAACGGCGGGGGCAGAGAGCACTGAACGGTGCAGGTCATTGATATGAAGGCGCCCGTGACCTTTGGCGGGTCTGTTTACTGGAACCTTTCAGTCCAAACACTACTCAAGAGTCGCAAATTCTCTCGACCAAAATGTCAGAAGATGTGTTTGCAGAATCCTTGCAGAATCCTTTCTTCTTTTGCAACACATTGAGGGCCGTCGAAGCGTTGCGCCGACTCAAACCTTGCTTCGGTGCGGCCCTTATGCTAGCGGCTGAATGTCTGCATTTAGTATCTACTAATACAAAGTTCAAGTTCAAACAGCCAAAAATCAACCAAATATTTCCCACTAGTCGCCAACCATCGGTCGACACCTCGTAGCATGGACAGAGAAATGAGGAGACACATCTACATGGTATTATAGATGATTATACTCAACAGGAGAAGCATTGTGGTGGGCGAGGGCATAGCGGGTCTCGCAACGGGCACCTTCCTGAACAATGGCTACGTATAGAACGTTGGAGTCGACCGATCGTCCTTGAGAGCAACGTTATCCAAGCATCGCTTCCCCTCTCAGGATACCACCGACGTTCGTGTTTCCACTAGACAGAGGAATCTCGTGAATTTCCACCCTGCGCACTCCATCCAAATTTGGCCACGCGTTGTTTGGTCTTCTCAAAAAGTTGAAACAGTGTTTGAAACATTGTGCGCGATCACGACTCTTCACTGACATCATCGCGTAATCGCGAACATCTTATCGCAGGCCAGTACATATAAAAGCAAAGACTCTTGAATTCAAACAGAATAATTTCGCAATGGCCCTTCAACCTTCCCTTCGTCCTCTTGTAATTGCGGGCCCCTTCGACGCGCCACACACTCTTGACATCTTCCGTAAGTTTGCTATACCCTCCAGAGTCATTTCCGTTCTAATCTTATGCACAGTGGACTACGTCTGCCCTTTTAGGTAGATTAACACGAACTGAACAGGCCTGCGGACACTCTGATATCTCATCACAGCGCCAAAATGGCTTTGGCGGTCAACGACGTCCTTAAGCCACTCTTCGCTCAAGATGGAAAGTACAATGGTAAAGTGAAGGCTATCATCCGCCTCCAAGTCCAGCCGTGGCACGTTTCCTCCACCTTGACTCACGAGTCAGCTCTTGCGGTCTGTCGTTATGGCCAAGACCGAAGGTACCGATACTGACCATCAGTGTCTTTAGGTCGCTCGTGTCTCGCCAGAAAAATTCTGGCCTTACAGTCTTCTGGTGAATATGCTCTGAGGTTGTACATGTGTACAAATGACATGGTATTGATATTTTCCCAGCTCTTCAAAAAGCAGGCGGGCTATTTCGACATCGCGACCTCCACCCTTACTCCCTTGCAGATCCGGGAAAGCTTGGCGCAACTTGCAGCACAGGTCATTGCGCCCGAAGTGATTGACGAGTTCAAGGAACTCCTGAGGCTCAAGAGCAGCCCTAACGGAGGAAACGCTGTTACCGAAGATCTCAAATACACAGGTCAGTCTCCTTTGCGAGATATATAAATCTGAGAACGGTTTTTGACATAAATTCTAGTCAAGTTCTCAAGGCAAAATAGCATCCACGTCTCGCCGACGGTACTGTGGGATGGTCTAGTAGCTAGCGAGGTCTCAAGCAGCTGGGGCGATAAGGAATGGAATGCCTTCTTGGCTGAGAAAGTCAAGGTCTGATGTAAGGAATCGAAGAGATCGCAGAAGCCCATCATGGGTGACTATATTTGTACAAACGGGAGACGGTGTACTATAGAAGCTGTATGTATAAAATAACCACACAGGTCCTAGGGTGAATACCCTGACCTAATATTATAAGATGATCCGAAATGCTATAAGATGGTGGTGGTGGTTGTACAACAATGTCTATGATGATACACGAATCGTAAAAAAGGAGTGGATAAGTTAAAAAAACAAACTGGACTTTAATGATCGTTTATTGGTAGCCTCTCTGTGACTTTTCACCCGAGCTGAAGGGGGGGGAGGCAACTGGCGGTGGTGGCCTCGCGCTTGTCACTATTGTTTGCACAGCGCCAGCCGCAAAGCCCATGATGGCTTTACTGCTCATGGACTCGAAGTCTAGCCGCGCGCCTATCTTGAGCGTATCCGACTTCCATATCCGCTGGTATATGTACGAGTCGTGGAAGGGTAGGGCTGAAGGAGTGTTGGCTGATAGATTAACGAGGGACTTGATCCACACGCGAATGCGGTGAGATGAGCCGGCAGGTAAGGACTTGATCGGAACGGTACTGTGGCAGATATGAAATGAGAAGGGGATAGTCACGGTATGGATGCGGGGAATACATACTAGATCAAGAACGTCACTGTCCGAGGGTCTCCGTCTATTCGAAGCCTCAGGTCTTCGAACAGATTCCCGCCGACCCCATTTGCGTCGTAATCGAGCGAGTACTTGTAATCATTCTCGTTCACACGATGCCATCTATGTGGGATGCTCGTCGGCGTTATATTATCGCGGAAGGGATGTACTTGCGTACCTGCAGGTAAATGTGACAAGGGCTTGGCCGACAAACCCATGATACAACTGGGACTTTGAGTCCACGCTCTTTAGACGCACAAAGGAAGCGTCGGCAATAGAATGGAAGTCGAGGTCCTTCCCCACCCACAGCTCGTCGTCGGCGAATAACCGATGGTCGATGCCATTCACCCGGAGCCAGACGCGAAGGGACCAGAGGCATCCAACGGGTATCGATTTGCCCGGAAAGATGCTGCGGAAACATAGCATCAGTGTGGCGCTTATCAGGACAGTGGTCAAAGCCCTTACAACACGACGAAGTCGAGCTGTCGAGGATCCACGGAGAGTCTCATAACAACAGGCTCACACATTGCTCTCTGGATGCCGTTTGCTTTGAGTGATAATGTGAAGGTATATCTTCCCGGTGACGGTTTCCCTGAGACGGGTTCAACCCTAGGTTGCCGGTCAGTTGAAATCGATAATGGGCGGTGCTAGACTCACGAAAT